ACTCAATTTGCTCGGTGAAGTAGATTTCGACATCATTTTCAATCCACCATTTATATGGCGTAGATGACATAAGGCCGACATTTTCACTTTCATCCAGCCACTTCCTTTCCTCAGGGGTCAACGGCCTAGATACCGAAGCTGCGCTTCGGCCAGAGGTACTAGCTTCTCCCGAGGTGCTGGGGGGCAAGGTAGTCAAAGGGACAACCCTAATTGTAGAGCCTCTAGAAGTGGCGGCGACACTAGTCCTAGCCCTAGGGTTCTGGTCGTTGAGGGGTGGCTTCATCTCCAAAGGACGGTTTCGCCGCAAAGTCAATTGCGGAATCTCTTCCTCTTCTTCAATGCTCGGCTCAACCTCCACCTTTTTCTTTCCACGGTCACCGGCAATTTTTAACAGTGGTGGTGCGGTAAAACTAAGAAAAAGGGGGGTACTCGAAAAATCAAGAAAGCCGAAGAAAATTATGAGAAAATTACCTTGATTAGACCCGGAATTTTCCGATCTATAAGTTTGGAGCAACAAATTAAATTTCAATTTTGAGCTTCGGATTGCTGAATATGAGTGAAAAAAGAAAAAAGGTTTAGCAGCGATGATTAACGAGAAGAAATTCGAAATTAGCAAAATGAAATGAGGAAAGAAAGTGGGACGAATGGCTTAAATACCTTCCAAAAATGGGAATCTTGGGAGTCCGTGCCACTAATACCCCCACTAACTCCATTTCAATGCTCCACCTTTCTGTCTTCTTCTCTAATTAACCGCCCACTAAACCATCCAAATTCCCAATTAACCCCAAACTGCTGTTATTGCCTCAATAACCACAATAATTTAAATGTTAATTAATCATTTGCTTCCCTCCATTTTGCAAGCCAAAACCCAACTCGTCAAACTTTCGAATCGGGTCTGGGGTGTAAGTTGTTTGGGTTTAATTTATTCCAATTGGGCCGGTCCACAAATGATTCAATTACAAAGCCCAAAATAAGGTTCAACTCTCCTAATACATGCTAAGTCAGTCAAACGCCCGGTCAACATGGCAAGCCCATTTGACCTCAAGGCCCAATTTATCTATTTGAGTAAGGTATAAAAGCCTTGACTTCTCTCTTTCTCAATTCATTCACTTCAAGCCTCAAGCATTAACTCCCTTGCATAGCTTTCTCTCTCTAAACACTATACTGACTTCGGCATCGGAGGGGCCTTCCTCGGCGCAACCACCGAGGCCAATTTACGTATGTTTGTCGTGCAGGAAACCCTCATCCCAGTCATCACTTAGGTCGAGTCCAGTATTCATCCCACTAGAAAGATCCAGACAAAGGTCCCATTATTTTCACCCAAAACATTAAGCATTTAATTTAATTTCATTAAACAACATATAATTTCGTCGTACAATCCATATCCTTACAATTTTGGTAAATTATTTTATTACCACTTATAATCCGAAGGACGTATTACTATGGACTATTGTTAATGGATTCTAACCATCAAATAATTATTTATCATAAGAAATTTATTTATAAACTCTTTAGTGAGTTCACTTATCAACTACTACTTTATTTAATTAAATTAATTAAGAGAAAAAAAAAAAATATTTTTGAGTGGCTATAATCTAATGTCACATACACTTTTAGGAATCTTGTCTTTGCTGCTGCTAACCCATAATAAATAAAATACTTGGTAGTCGATAAGTATATACTGCCATCATACATATCATCAATCATTTCAATCGGGTAGGTTAAACACCGCCCTTCATGTCATTGTCATTGGTGCTACGTTATTAAATCCATAATATATAACTAATGGCTTTCTAATAGTGACTTTGTCAGATTTGCTTCATCCGATCAAATAATCCAGTCTTCATCGAATCATCGCTCTCGACACATTACATACGCTTGATCTATTCAATAAACACCACCTTCAATTCATAAACAAATTACAGTTACTTATTCAAGCTATATGTCGTTCGTGCGTGCGTGCTTGGCTTATTAGCCATGCACACAACGTGTTGGAGCTTAATGCATGTTTGTTTTCATATGTATTCCAAAATTCTAGTAAATGATTTGTATTATTTGTATACGATAAAGGTTTAAGGTTAAGATAAATTGACTATATAAAAAAGATTTCTCTTTCATGTAACACCGCCCTTCATGTTATTCTTAAGAGTGATGCATCCAATGTTGTTCAAGAGGTTAAGAAGAAGGCTGCCAGTTTTACCCCCTTCTCACTGCTTGTTGATGATATTTGTGCTTTGTCCAATTTCTTTGTAGCTTTCTCGATGTCTCATGTTAAATGTGAGGGTAATACTTTAGCTCACCACGTTGCTAGGTGGGATATTATAGGTTGTAATGAACTTGTTTGCTTAGGTCCTTTTCCTCAAAGCCTCGTAACTTTGGCGGAAATTGACCTCTATTAATATATTTATCCGCAAGTGTTTTTTAAATATATATATATATATATATATATATATATATATATATATATATATATATATATATATAAATTCAAATCCAAACTTGCGGATAAAAATAAAGGATTTTTTTTTTTAAGTACGTAATAACTTGTTTCCTAACTTATCCGCCGAATTATTACTCCATATTTCATTTTTTTTGTTGAGAAGACAAAGACAAAGTTTAGTAAAATTTCTAAATTTTATTGCTACTTTATTGAAATATATGACATTATATTTTTTATTCTGAATGAATGACCAAGTATAAGATCAAGCTGACATGCTTAATTAGCTTTAACAATGCATGCTTGTTGTTTTTTTTTATTTTGTTTATCTATTTTTTTCATGCGTTGTTTAGCTCAACAACTTTGATGCAAGGGAAAAATAAAAATAAAAGAGGGGAAAAAAAATATTAAATACAATTCCTTACCTAAATCCCCCAAACATCCGATCCAGACTATTGGTCTAATCTCGTACTACGTACATACATACATATATGTATTTACATAAATAAAAAATACACCACTTTAAAATACTGCATTAAATCATCTGCCAAAAAAAAAAAAAAATATTGCATTAAATGGTGAGAATATATATAAGGGAAAAAGAGGTTCATAATTTTACCAAAATAATGACTCCGTACAAAAAATGGAGTACAATACAATATACGAAGTATATAAACCTTTATTCAGAAATAGAGAGTATCAATCATAGGAGTAAAGATTAAATGCAACTGTATTTGAGACTTGCATTGAAGCTCATTTATTTATGTTTCAAAAATCTGCAATGCACAGAAAAAATTCCAATATTATCTGAAGCTTCAGGTATGTGTCAAACCATTTAACAAAAAAAATAAATAAAATAAAATAAAAGGTATATGTCAAACCAAATTTAATTCAATTTGATGAGTTTTCATTTTCATAAATAATAATATAATTAAGTTGTTGTACCAGTCTTATTGACAGTGATAACCAATACCGTTAATTTTAATTTCTAATCTTCCAAAATAGTATGTGTTGATGAGTGCCTTGCAGAACTGAACACTTACTTTATATAATTCAAAATTAACCTTAATTAACCTCATTCACTTTGATGATTTTCTTTGATAGATTATTTATTGCCTTTGTTGGCAAGAGGCGTTCAACTAATCACATAGTTGAGTAAAGTGCGGTGCGGTGTAATTGACAATAATTAAGACAAGTAGTACCAATTAATAAGATTAACATAAATTATCTTCAATTTAAAGCATAATACACCCATCCTGCCAAAAAAAAAAAAAAAAAAAGTATAATACACCCATAATACATCCTTAAGTACAGTACTTCGTAATGTACTAGTACTAGTATATGCTTTCAAAAAAAAAAAAAATGTACTAGTATAAAGCTGAAAAACTTATTGCTTGCTTGTTCAAATTAGTTAAATGCGGGAAGAAGTTCTTCCGAAAAGTTACAGACTTGCAATGTTTATGAACTATTGTCAATTTTATTTCAGTTTTACTTAACCCGATGAGTTCAAGGTTTATACACTTATACATGTTAGGGGGAGGGAGTACCTTTTTTTTTTCATGAGCAGTACAGTTTTCATATGAAGTTTCACTTCCAATCATGACATTGCAATTTTAGGTGGATTGAATTATGTTTGTATCATTGTATATGTGAAATGTTTTTGGGAAGTTTCAAGTTTTCGTGGTTGAATCCAATACTTGTGATTGAATCATGTTTATATCATTATCTTTTTGTGGATAAATTTAAAAATTAATTTCAACCAAACGTCACCATTTAGGACATTGAAAGCATGAATAAATATTATCAACACAGTTGCCTAAAACGACAAAAACACGTGTGGTTTAGTTATATTAAACGTTTAACACTTGTTGTTAACTAGTATCATTTTGGAGTAATTGATTTAAATGCATGATATATATGTGTACGGGAAAATAAAAATAATCAAAACACCTGCATAGTAAATTAATGTATATAGACTTTGTTTTTTTGAGCTGAAATGAACTAAATTAAGTTGGAATAACATAAACTGAAATTAACTCAAAAAAAAAAAAAAAAAAAACAATAACTTAGTAGAGGTGTATACAAGTACAAACATCAGAATGAGAGAATATTATTATGAGGATTTAGACAAAAGAGAAGCTCAACAATTTTACCAATTCAGCTAAAAACAAGTCCGAGAGCAACATACTACAATTTGAAAACAAAAACAAAATGGAAAGACAAAAACTGAAAAAGAAAAGAGAAAGAAAAAGAAAAAGCCACGTAAAATAAACAAGGTTCCTGACACCCATATAACTGAAAACCGGGGAGCCAGCCACTCTTTTCCCTCATTTCGAACCTTCGATGCATGCGCTTTGCCCTTACTCGTGTCACCTTTATCCCCTACTGTTCACCCCCACTCTATTCCCCTACATTCTCACTTCTCCTTCCGACACGTGTCCAATCAACCCAGTTACAACCCAGTCTCACCATCTTCCCCTACACCCAACCCCACCTAATCCACCCACCTCTACGGCTCTACTGTCCCCTTTTTAATTTAATTATAATTTCATCCTTTTTTCCTCGTTGGCGTTAAATTTTTTTTAAAAAAAAGGTTGAAGAAGACAAAATCCAAAACAACTTTAGTTTTTTTTAGAGAGAGAAAGTTAAAGAGTTTAGTGAAGAAGCAACAACAAACCCAACTCCTCCAGCCAGCATCACCATCTTCATCATCATCAACCTTTTTAGAGAGAGAAAATCACAATCCAAATTGTTTCTGATACTCTCAGATTTCCATGATCATGGAGTAGATCTTCTCCGGTTCTCTCTCTTCTTCTTTAAATTCGACTTCAGTTCTTCATTCACTATGATCCCGTCTCTCTGTAATCTCGGCCGTTTACTGTGATTTCAACGCTGTTTAGATCGTTTCTCCGGTGAGTTTTTCCGGTTCTGTGCTTTAGATCTGTTTCATTTGTTTGATTGAGTTGATTTTTAAAACCCTACCTTAACCCCCAACCGTTTGATGTTTACTTCACTTTGACTAGGTTTTAATTTATCTTTTTTGGTTTTTGATTTTGACGGCGGAATTAGGACTAGGAGTGAGAAATTGGAATCGAACGGTAAATGGGGCAGTGTTACGGTAAAGCCGTCGCCGGAGAAAATGGTGATGTTGTGACGACGATAGTTGCTCCGTCTTCCGGTGAGGATGGTGGAGTTCATCCTCAATCGCCACTTCCGGCGTCGGAAGTTGCGAATAATCCGTCGGTAAGGAATACGCCGGCGAGATCATCGCCGTGGCCGAGTCCGTATCCTGCTGGAGTTCCGCCGACTCCTTCGCCGGCGAGGTCGACGCCGAGGAGGTTTTTTAGGAGGCCGTTTCCGCCGCCGTCTCCGGCGAAGCATATAAAAGCGTCGTTGGCGAAGCGGCTTGGGAATGCGAAGCCGAAAGAGGGGCCGATACCGGAGGACGGTGAGAATGAAGGAGGGCAATTGTTGGATAAGAGTTTTGGGTATGGCAAGAATTTTGGGGCAAAGTATGAATTGGGGAAGGAGATTGGGAGAGGGCATTTCGGTCATACTTGTTCTGCCAAAGGGAAGAAAGGAGAGCTTAAGGATCAAGTTGTTGCTGTTAAGATCATTTCCAAGGCGAAGGTGATTTATTATTTTTATTCTGTTTTTATTTGGGTGATGAATTTGATGATCATAGAATTGAAATTTCGGATAATTTTGATATAATGTGATTAATGGCAACGTGAATTTCTGTGATTTTGTTTGTGTTTCTAATACTCCGTAATGTGCTTTATTTGTTAATTTGGGGAGTTTATTAATTTTTTTGGAATTTAATATTTGTATTTATGAGTCAAAATATATGTATTTATGATGGCGATGTTGCTGGATTTTATTGAATTTTTTTTTTGGGGGAGGGAAGAGATGTATTTACTGGGTCTTATCGTCTATAGATTGTGTTCCTTTCTTCATTTTGTACTACTTTCAATTTGAGGGTTCAAAATAACTGGTCCCTTGTGACAATTTTGGTAGAAGTAACACTTTGATGATTAATTCAATGTCAAAATTTTATTGCTAGAATTAAGTTGTTACTATGATTAACACTTTGATGGACAATGATGGTTGAGGTTGACAACGTTTAGATTTTGTCATATATTTTCTCGAGTTGTGTTTTTATTGGTTTTGGGTATTGATCAGTTCATCTTGTGATTTAAGCCAGTAATTGGATGCTGGTTTAATATCGGATTTAAATTACTGTCTTTTGCTAGTGGAGCATGTTAATGTTTAGTTTTCATCTTCCTAAACGGAACTAGTTAAGTTTCTAACCCTAAAAAGAAAAGCAAAGAGTGGTGTGTGAGATTGATTGTCTTCTGTTCTAGTTTAGTAGGTCAGTATGCTAACTGAGGCATGCTCAACAGGTCTGTATACTGTTTTTAGAATATTACTGGCTTCGCAAACTGCTTTTTCACTTGATATTTGATAAGAAACCCTATAAAATTTGAATGTTCGTGTAGGAAGTTGTTTTCTCAATTCGCTAAACCTGATATTGCGAACAGTGTGAAGCTGGCAATACTCGTGTAGTTGACCTTAAGCATCAGCCATAAAGTTGCTGTTTATAAGTGTGATTTATGAGTAGTTGTAGTGTTTGACTGGTGATTTAGGTTATTTCCGAACACTCTTGTCAATTCTATGCTGTCTTAACTCATAAGGCAAGCAATTATAATGGTAATGGATATTCACTGCAGATGCTACCAGTCATTGACCTTATTTATTATCTCATCCCCTCTATCTCAGGCCAATTGATGTTTTTTAGGCTTACCATTTGCTTAGTAGAGGGTCAGTTAACTATTTTTGGGATACATTCCTGATAAAGAAAATTCAGTTTCTTCTAACCAGTCAGATTTTTTAACATTAGACATTCCATGAAGTGAGAAGATTATTTAACATTTTTTCCTTGAGACAGAGTTATGTATGGAGGAAACTCTACTTTGAGTAACTTGTAGAAAGCAACAGCCTAATAGACTACAACTTTCTGAAGCCTTCTACTTCAGATTTCATTTGTCCCCTAGGTAACTAGGTTTGCCCTTTATTGTCAGGGGTTTGTTTCATGAACTTTGAGGGTGCTTCTTTGCCCAGCCCTAGGATCAATGACATAAAAATCACCTTTCCCATTCATCACGGATAGGGCAGTCCTGGGACGTGATCCTCGATTCACTATGATTAATCCTTCTGTGTACATGGGTTCATGTGATATTTATAAAGTCTTGAGACAATCCCTCTCTGCTGAAATAAAAATGGAAAGCACAAAGGCTGCATGAAGCTCAACAGGCATATTTCTTATCCGTAAGATGTGAAGGTTAGCAATATATGATATTTTGGCTGAAAATTACTCACATCCAGGAGTTATTGCATCGAGATGCATGGAGAACTTTAGATTAAATGAATAAAGTGTTGTATGTGTAACACTTTTCACATGAAAGCTCTCCCAACACTCACAAATTCACAATTTATGCTATTGTAAGGGGTTTGCATGCGTTTATAACTTCAACTTTATGCTTGACTTTTGTCATTATTAGTTGAAGGACTTTTTCCAAGAGAATCATATGGATTTTTTTTTTTAGTTTTTTTCTCCCGCGTAAAGCAGTAAGAACTTTTCAAGGAAATTGATATTAAATGAAAAATCATTGTCAAGATATATTATCTAAAATCTTTAGTTAAAAAAATGTAAAGTACTAGAAAATAATAGGAGATTGAGTGAGGTAGGAAACTAGGAGAGGGCAATAAGATGGGAACTTTACTCTTGTATCTTAGCATAATATATTTCCTTGTGTTTTTCCTTTTTATTTTAAAAAAATATAAATGAACGGCTGTGTAACAAAGTTGCAATTTGGGTGGCGGGTGATATTGTGGCTCGCTTATTGGCAAGGTGGGATAAACTGGATAGTGATGGACATGTTTGGATTGATAATTTCCGGAAAGCATTTATGCTTTAGTGGCTTAATTTTTAATAAGACATGCTTGAACCTAAAAAAAAAAGAGGCCATGGTTTGATAACAAATTTAATTACCACCTTAATTGAATCTCGTTGAGATAGAGTCTAGGAAGGTGCTTACTCAAGAAATGTTATTAGCAAGTAACGATACTTGCTTGATGTTTAACGAAGATGTACTTTATCTTTATGATATCTTGCTCAAATGGAAGTTCTTTGAAATTAAGAAGCTTATATCTTCGGTAACATTTAGTTCCCTTTGAAAAACTTTAGGTAGTACTTGGTTAGGAATTATCATTGTTATTTTCTACTTTGAAGCTTGAGCAATTAGTCTCTTGAATTGGTTGGTAGTTTCTGCTAGACTGCTATAACTTGATGGAGTAATTATATTAATTATGTCCATATATATTTACAAAGTTGAATATGCTCATGTGAGTTTTTACATCTAAATATAGTTACAGTGGAGCAGAACAATTGCCTTGAACTAAACTGTGCTATAGTTCTTGGTTAGTCAACTATCCTCATTCCTCTTGCAAGAGTTTAATAGAACCAGTTTCGTAATGATTGTAAGGGTAGGTGTTAGTAGCTGGATAATAAATTCAACAAACTCTAATTCCTTGAGTCGGTTGAAATTAATGACAATTGTTGCTAGACAACAAATGTTAGTAACTAAAGATTTTTTTTTTTTTTTTTTTTTCTTCTAGCTATGACTTACGATATAAGGACTGAAGCTAAGAAATCTTTATCGTGGGAAGGACTAAACCTTTGGGTGGTTTTGTGCTTGTGTCTTGCAATAGATTTAGGAACTATTGTCCTGTTTAAGAAGTTTTTAAACTTATTTTTTCCACGCATGCGTGAGTGTGTGTGTTTATCCACCTTTTTAATTTAGTGGATGCGTTCCACATTTTTTTTTTAACTTGTCTTGACTATGGGTACTATGTCGGATATCAGATTATCAGATTATGCTATTAGTCTAGAGGTTAGCTTTCAGGGCATAATTATGCAAGTTCATTTTGAACAACCTCGATTCTTGTGACTGCTTTTCTAGTATGCCGATTTCTCTGCAAGATGTTTATGTTAAGGTGGCTTTTCATGTGCATATGTAATCCTGAGATTGTAATATCTTTATCTACGTCACCTGGACTAATTTTGGTATAATTAGTATCATCGATGACTCACTGATTTTGTTCTAAAAATGCTTTTTACTTCTGTTCATATTTCTAGGGTTGCTCCTTTATGCTGATTAATTATAAGTTAATAAATGCTATATATTGAGCAGATGACTACGGCAATATCTATTGAAGATGTTCGGAGGGAAGTTAAAATTCTGAAAGCCCTCTCAGGGCATAAGCATCTGGTCCAATTTTATGATGCATGCGAAGACTCAAACAATGTATACATCGTCATGGAGTATGTATTTTCTCTTGAGCTGTATACTTCTATGCTTTCCATTAGTACATGATGAAAGACTAATTTTCAGTTTTCAAGATTTTCTCCACGCATCTATTGGATCATTTGGATGGCCTTCAAGTGTTTGATTGGGTGAAGGATAATAGGAAATGCTAGTGTTTTGATTGACGAATTTTGAAATTTCAATTTCTATATTTGTTATTGTGAAACTTTCTAACTGTATAAATGGGGCTGGATGCGTTGGGCTATAGTGAATTTAAGAACCACTGTCATTAAGCTACATCAACATTTTAATAGTGATATTACATTGGGTCTGAAGTGTTGGATTTTACTTTTATGTCAGATTATGTGAAGGTGGTGAATTACTGGACCGAATATTGTCCAGGTAACATTAACTCTTATCAATACTTGATTCTATCGAGGAGATCTGAGATTTCTTGGGAGTAAAGGGATATTCTTTTTGCAGAGGTGGAAGGTACCCTGAGGTAGATGCGAAGGTCATTATCAAACAGATTCTGAATGTTGTATCATTCTGTCATCTTCAGGGTGTTGTGCACCGTGATCTGAAGCCTGAGGTTGCCTTTGTGAGCTTGCCTATTTGTTTGATACTTGATGCATTTTTTTGTCTATAACTTTTCAACTAATCAATTTGCTTCCTATACAGAATTTCCTATTTACATCTAAAAGTGAAGATGCTGACATGAAGCTAATTGATTTTGGCCTCTCTGATTTTATTAGGCCAGGTAACAATTATGAATTTCTTTTAGGGTTGAAGATCTCCGCGTTTTTCATGGGTTCTATTTCTGTTGACAAAACAAGTCTTGCTTTTTTTAAATATTAAAACCAGCTATCTATATGTACTAGAATAATTAGACTAATATGGTAGTAGTCCTCGAAGATATTTACCATCACTGTTCTGATATATGCAAAATTGGCATCATGATTATTTATGCTATGAGGGGATTAAGGATTCTTATAAATTAGCTGCCAATGAAAAATGGGTTACCAAGGATTACTGAATCTCTCAGTGGATTATCTACTTGTGGTGATTGCTTTATTTTGATTTTCATTAATCATTTTAGTTACTGATTTTGGCTATAAGATAACTGTGCTCTTTGCCAAAGATACTAACGATGTTTACTGGAGCTTTTTGACTGGGGTTACTCCGTTACTTATTAGGCTAGGAGAATTTTCGGTCTGTTTTATTTTATTTTTCTTTTCTAGATGCTATATCCAGCTTTGTATGGTTTAGAGTTAGTGTTGTATTTATAGGACAACACACTCAGTCACACATATATGCATGTGTTTGTGATTTATGATGTTTATGGAATTAAAGAGTGGGTATGCTACTCATAAGTCAAATTAGAACTCTTAGAGTTTTTCTTGTTCTCCTTTTTCATGCACTTGAAGAGCTCTCAGGGCCTTTGAGATTACTTTCTTTCCTTTTTCCACTCAGAGCATGTTTGTTATAAATGCAGATGAAAGACTAAATGATATTGTGGGAAGTGCTTACTATGTTGCACCTGAAGTCCTTCATAGATCGTATAGCCTAGAAGGAGATATGTGGAGCATTGGTGTTATCACATATATATTATTATGTGGAAGCAGGCCTTTCTGGGCACGCACAGAATCAGGAATCTTCCGTGCGGTGCTTAGAGCGGAGCCCAATTTTGATGATTTGCCTTGGCCTTCTGTGTCTCCTGAAGCTAAGGATTTTGTAAAAAGAGTGCTTAACAAGGACTACAGGAAGAGGATGACTGCTGCACAAGCTTTGAGTAAGTCTTTTACTATGTCAATCTGCTTTATAAGGACTTCTATCTTGGTAAACTTATGGTCTGAATATAATAATGAAGCTTATCCTAAAGGCTTTGTGAAACATTTTTTCTGAAGGAATGCTTTTGTGTTCTGCAGCTCATCCCTGGTTGCGTGACGAAAACCAGCCTATTCCTTTAGATATATTGATCTATAAATTGGTCAAGTCATATCTCCATGCAACTCCTTTTAAACGGGCTGCATTGAAGGTATTGTTTTGTTCATAAGATTGCTCTGTCACTTATGCTTCTTTGAATTTAGGTCTGATTGTGGACTGTGGCTTGTGGTCTTTCCAATGTCTCGTATGATTACTGAATGAATTGGATTGCCTAATATATATTCTGAATTTTTACTGTAGATATGTTTCCATACTTATTTTAAAAAAATATTCTTCTCTAATTTGCACCTCAAACATTTCTATTATTGTTGATCAAGTGTTTCCCAACCATAATACTACTTGCTGATTGTTTTGCTCGCCAGCTAAAAATTGCTTAGCTTACTTGTAAAGGAAGTTCGCTCACTTCATTGGCTTGATGGTTTGTCTGACTTAGTTTCACAGCTTTGTGTCTGCATTTATGTCTTTTGTTTTATAGTTCCATTGAGGGTTGGGGCCTGGGGGGGTTTTGTTGGGAGTGAAGAGCTCTTATTTCATGTCTTCAAGTGCTCATTATCCAAGGTTTTATGGCTTGTGTTGATATAGAAACTCTTCAACGTTACGGACCAAATTAATTTTTTTTGTTTGTCCTTTAGTGTGTCAATGTACTTTTTAAACATAAAACTGTTGATGCGAACTACCTAGGTATTTTTTTGCAACCATTCTACTTGTTGCATTGTTTTTTGTGTGACTTTTGCAAACATGTAGCAATTTGATGATCCTTTTTTGAGTTCTGTTATATGTCGGGCCTGTAAAACCTTGTTCTTTAGGAGTATCTTTTTATCCCCTAGACTAGCCTAGGTATGGTCATCCCATACGGCAGCTGTCCATCAGAATAGGATAACCATCTCTCATGCATGAATATCTAGATGCTCTATTTGGTTAAATTTGACAGCATGCATGAACTTGTACATGCTCTGTCAATTTGACCTGGTGATGTTTGACTTGATTTTCTCATCGTACTCTTGTTGATTTGTTACTATAGCATCAAATTGTCCTGGAATATTGTTAGTCAAACTCATGAATAATAGATGTCTAACTAGGGCTTAAGTAAGCCTGAAAATTCTTTGATACTAGTAATTCTGTGGATCTCTTCAAAATTTTAAGCCTCTTTATAACTGATTTCATCTGATGAATAACTAGTTTTCTCTTTTCTATCTCCTTGGAACTGCAGGCTCTCTCCAAAGCTCTTACTGAGGATGAGTTGTATTACTTAAGAGCAGAGTTTGAGCTTTTAGAGCCTACCGGAGATGGCCGTGTTACATTTGAGAACTTCAGAATGGTTATTTTTTGTTGCTTTGCTTTTGTCTTTTTATTACTTTCATTTGTTCATGCCACAAACATCCTGTTCTTACTACAATATCCATTTTTTTTTTCTAATCATTCCAGGCACTTTTGAATAATGCTACTGAGGCAATGAAGGAATCTAGAGTCCCTGATATCCTAAATACGGTACTTTATCCTCTTTGGAGCTACATAAACTTGAGACTGCATATGAGAATGTCTAATGTTCTGATTTGATTTGGCACAGATGACAACTCTTTCGTACAGAAAAATGGATTTTGACGAGTTCTGTGCTGCTGCGATCAGCACACATCAATTGGAAGGTCGGGAAGGTTGGGATCAGATTGCATCTATTGCTTTCGAGCATTTTGAGCAGGAAGGCAATCGGATTATTACTGTTGAGGAGCTTGCCAGGGTACGTATTGCTTTCCCAACATCTTTCATGTCAAGTTTCCATACTTGTGTGATTCTCAGCTTCTGTGTTAATATCTGATAAATGCAGGAATTGAATCTTGGACCTACTGCTTATTCAATTTTAAGAGATTGGATTCGGAGCTCCGATGGGAAGTTAAGTTTTCTTGGATATACAAAATTTTTGCATGGAGTGACTATTCGTAGCTCAAATACAAGACATCATCAATAGGATAATCATTTACATAAAAAGGCCGTCGTCATAAATGATTAAATTAGATTTATGCCTAATTACAGGTTATTCAGGAAAGTTTTATTTTTTCCCTATTTGGGAAGCATAGGAAGATGTGTATAAATGAATAACATTAGTCAAATTTAGCTCTGAGGTTGAGGCAAAATTGTACTATAAGTGGGTTTCTGTAGCTCATTCCCAACGTTTGATTTTGGTAAAAGAATATAAATGGGGGTTTGAGCACAAATTTTCTTCTTTGCTCTCCTTTCTCAACACCTCTGTGCTACCCCGTTTGCCCCTCTCCCGCTTTCACTATACTTCTGGGTTTTGTACACGGTTTAAAAAAAAAAAAAAAAAAAAGCATCGGCTTTAAGTCTTAATGCATGATTATAGATCGACGCCTTTCCAATTAAGGAGTAATGAAGTATGAAATCACTAATTACACCAACTGAAATCCTGCCCACCTTTTTGAGTGGATGTGCAAGATACCGAAATACTGAATTGATTATTATTATTATTATTGCAATAGGTTGGTTATACAGTACTTCCTCTACTAGGGATGGGGAGTATAAGTTGAAGTGAAATTTTCAAGATTTTTGTGGAATGAATAGTATTTAGTCTTTTTTTACTTGAATTGAAAGTAATCTCCAAGCTTTGCTTGTGTTCCGTAATTCGTAAGGACTCACATGTTTATGGTATCGAACTATCGATATCAGACCAGCTCGAGTCAATGAGAGAAAACTAAACAAAAATCACTTAAGTTTGCTTGATTTGATACATTTCTTGTATTATGTAATTATATTGTGGAGTATCGAGTATGATTTAAATGATTTTTGATTGATTTTGAGTGTAGCCCAAAATGGATTAAATTCATACCCAGAACTCAGCTAAAGCTTTATTTACATGTTGGCTTTAGGGATTGCTTACGACACCGCAAGATGATAGCAGTCATGCATATTAAAGTGTCATGCCATTTCCATTATTTTTATTTTTATTTATTTTTTTAAGGGTTTTTCAATTTCGTTGGGGGAAAAATATTTAAATAAGTGAAGTCAAGTATTCCTAACTGATGCGGCATGGACGACTTATATGGGTTTTCTAAGGTAATCGGTAGACGGCACCTTCCTTGAATGCCCTAGACTACCCTTTGGAGGTTGTATCTTACTTCTAAAAGACCTTAACAAAGATTGGCAAAATGGTGACAAATTTGAGGTGTATCTGGCTCATTTATGGCCTAAGGATTCATATTGATACTAGAGAGAGAGATTCTAGCTTCTACCAAAGGACGACCAAGGTTATAATTTAATCAATTCAGTTGGGCAAAACCTACGAAATAGGTAATATAACCAAACAAAATACATGAAACATAGTCTATTTTCTCACTACATAAAGTTAATCTTGTATTTGTAGAATAGTGAGAGATCTCTTTGGGTCTTATGGTACACTAAAATAGCCAATAAAAACTCTTCCTAAGTGGCTAAGTCCCTCAAAGAGACCAAGAGGCTGAGTAGAGCTATAAATTCGTGATGTATTAAATTCTTTAACCTAAGATAACTTTAATAGTGACATTAATTAAGTGATGACATGATTCTAGCCTTCAAATAAAAAAATAAAAATAAAAATATTGGAATCAAATAAAGTCATAATTAAATTGGAATATAACCTTCTTAGTTTACAAGCAAACTTTTCAAGTTAAATACTTAAATCTATAGAGAATTTTGACTTTTTAGACCATACAAGATACTAAAGTATAATTACCCCTAAGAAGCCTTCTCCAAAGGTCTTAGTCGGATTTATGAGTCCCCTTATTGGGTCACAAGCTAGAAAATTTTAGAATTTATATTGATTGCTTAAAGTAGTATGTATATGAAATCAAATCTAAAAAAAAAGTTTCATAATAAATCGTTTTCAAAAATTATTAGAGACTTTTGGTTATAATTTCTCGAGTAATATAGTTATTTAGACTCGATTTACAAATAAAACTCTTTGTTACATTACTAGTTTAAGGGTTACTTGAATATATGGATGATGATTGATGAATGATGTGTGATGTCATTGCAGTTTATATATGGATAGAGAGAAACTTTATAAGAGAAACTTTAGATGATGTTATGCAATTTCATTGCATAATTAGATGGCATGGGAATGCCTAAAAGGAGATTAAACCATGTTATACACGGGAGGCGAGTACACAATTAGGACATACAAGGACATCCTTTACGCATAATTTGGAAAGAAAAGATTTGATTAAAAGCAAATCTTTAATTTGTTCTTTTTACTATTTGGACTATATTAGGCCCTACCATAAAGAAATCTCATTTCATTATCAATCAAATTTACCTCCAATAAAATTAATGAAACGTAAAAAATCAAAATAGAATCGTAATCTTCAATGAAAAAGAGATCTTCAATGGGGCCTTTAAGCAAAGTGGAATAAGACTGCTATGTTAATATTCCAAATTCTTTAGCCTATTGTTTATGAAGCAATTTTTTTTTTTTTTACTTTTTTTGGGCAAAGGTGGTAGTTGTGCTTCTAGCAACATTATAGTATCAAATGTATAGTATATTAATATTAGTCTTGTTTTTGCTCATCTTACTTTCTTATATTTCCAATTAAAAAAAAAAAAAAAAAAAGTAAAGTTCGGATAAAACATGCGTAATATATACAAATACTAAAAAAATGAGTTCAAATAAGGGCTATTCAAATTAAATATAAAGTAGCAATAAGTTCAAATAAATGATTTCAACTTTCAAGTATACAAAAAGCACCCATTACATTTCTTTTTCAAATTTCAAGTCAATATATGAAATTGCACAAGGAATAATAATGTTGTACGAGTAGATAAGATTAAGTCTTTTTACTCGATATCTAATAAAGAGTACTCTGAAGTAAGCTAATACCAATACTCGAAAGACAAAACTAAATGCTCCGTATTAGTAATTTTTTATCACAGGAAAGTAGAGGAGTCAAGTTCAATATTTCAGCGCCATCATCTTTGATATACTTGTATGATATTGTCCATACGGAGTATAAAAGAATTAAATCATCGAATAAACTTGGACTTGACAATCTCCATTATCCACAACTTGGTATTCACTTCACAAAATGTTGTCGAATTTCTGGTAAACGGAAATTTGGGACAATAAGACTGTAATCCTCATATATGCAGCTATTTCACATGCTTAGGGACCATGTTTTCGTTGACCTTAAGAGTTTTAAACTTTTAAGATTGTGGACTTGGTTTATTAAGAGTAGGGCACTAGATAGCTTATGAGTAGTGAACGTGGAGGACATTCACACCTGACTTTTGTAATTTAGACCCCAGAAACTCTTGGCTCCATGCACTTTATTTTCCTATTGTCTTACACTCACCAACTCACTATATTTATTATGCCATTTAATTTCCAAAGTCTCTTAATTCTAAACTGATTTTAGACTTTCTACAAATATTTCTATTGGGTGCATGGCATATTTACAAGTGTCTGGATGTCCCTATTTTACATTTGAAACTACAAATACATTTTTTATAAAAAAAAGAATGTTAATACTAATTCGACACCTCGATCTCATATGTTAATTCAATACTCGTATAATTTTGCAGGCCAGACTCATTAATAATAAAAGGGTAGTTTAAGAGTGAATGCTCGTCCTTAACGAACCCCTCAAAGATTTAAAGATAATAGATTAATAGTATATGTCAGATGAATGCATAATGTACTACTGTAGTATACATCAGATGATTCCTTAATTAGAAAATCAGCTTTGTTGGTTAATTAGTCAAAAACTAGCAAAATAATACACTTGTATACGTATTGTTGCCATGTCGGTCAACTTTTTCTTGTATACATATATTTGTATCTAACAATTATGATGAAATAATCGGTTCAGTGGTTCAACAATTGTATCTATTTCAGCCAATAAATTATGTTCGGCAAAAGCAAACAAGCAAACGGCAGTTATATTGAAGTCTTCTTGAAGCTATATAGCATGTAGGCCATGTAATACGTATATACACATTTATTTATGCTTAAAAGAATATCTTAAATTGCTACTTGTACTTCTCTCATGCCAATTTACAATCATTAATAATTTAATATACATTATTTTTTTTTTATTATTATTATTATTATTATTATTATTATTATTATTATTATTATTATTATTATTATTTATAAAAAAAAACCTACAAAGTCAAATGATTTACAAGAAATTAGTGGGAAGCCGAGATACAATCTGGGCCCCCACCCCTCTAGCTATGGCGAACCCAATCCTGTTGAAAATGTGAGCAGCCGCACGAGCACCAATATCCTGAGTCCTAGCAAACGCCTGAACCCTCTTCAGCAATGCAACAACATCCTTCTCTAGTTCCCCCAATGAAGAAAAGGAGAAAGGAAGAAAACCATAGCCAATAGCCCTGCAACGCGCCCCATACTTGTCTCGCTTCCGCTGAGCCACATCCGACACAACACGACCAGGAACAAAGTCAGACAACCCAGATTGTGTCAATGGAGAAGACCCCGTCAAGTCAACACATACATCTAGGCCTCTATCCCAGGAGTAAAGCAACACATCTGCTGGTTGAAGAGCCCCGTCGTTCCCTCCACTTAACCCAACGTTAACCTCCTTCCTTGCAGAAATCCCAGAGCGGAAACAAATATCAACAAGGGTATCACGAACAACATTGTGCCGATGTTTAATACCCACCATCCCAGCACAAGACACTGCATGATCCCCAAAAATATCCCCGTCAAAAACCCTTGAGCAAGCAGAGCAAGGTGTCAAAACGGAGAACAAGGGAACACCCAACCGGTAGCAAAGAACACATCGATAAGTCCTACCATTCATAGTCTGACCCAAACCTGATATCGGGACCGCTCGCAACCAGGCCGAATTGTGATCCCCCTGCTGGGACTTCCATAGGGCAACTTGATGCGGAGATTAGGAGAAAGTGGATTCAACAGATGCAGTGACCTTCGTGAAATATATATCTGCCAATTTCTTCATGAGTTTAGGGGCAGCGATCTCACTCGAGTTACGCAAAAGGTCAATCTCCACAATCCTATTAAAAAGACTAAGAGCGCCATCGAAGGCCGGTCCTGGACCAACAATACCAAAACTGCGAAGAAGCGTAGTCTGAAGGCCAGAAGACTGCAAAAGCGACGCAAGGAAAGCATAGTGCCGAACATCACCTGCTGAATAGACACCCAGTCCACATAAGCAAAAGGTAAGGTGGCAAGTCGCCATTGCCAATCACCAAAACCCGGCCCCGAAGCAGTTACAATACGCTAAAAAAAGCCCAATTATATTATTATTATTATTATTATTATTATTATTATTATTATTATTATTATTATTATTATTATTATTATTATTATTATTATTATTACTTGGGATTTTGATAATAGTGTTATAGAATAAGCATTGATAAACGTGAAAACTCCTGTGTTAGTATTTTTTTTTATTTCAATTCTTCTTAATCCCTGTGTTAGTAATTAAAAAAGAATGATTTCTCAAAAAAAAAAAAAAAAAAAAAAAAGATGAAAAAAGTATTTGTAGTAAAAATCATGAGGTTTACATTAAGGTTGATCGAACAAAAATTTATATAATTACATTTGTAATTTATGTACCAGTGAATTGAAAGTTATGATCAAATCGAGTATATGCCTAGCATAAGAATCAAAGAATGCCTAACAAAATCTCATCTTGATTGATGTTATTAATGTTAATTTATGCTTAATACATATCTTTTATTTCCTTATATTTTCCAATGTTATGTCACCACTAAAGAAGTAGCTAGTAGGTTTATTAAAATAAGGTTGACAAAATACGATAAATAAAGAATAAATCAGAGTTGAAGTTAGTGACAAGTAAGAAGAATAATTATTTAAGTATCCACTACTACAGTCATTGATGATCATCTATGTTAAACAAGAATGACAGTATTAGAAATTGTTCACGAATCAATCCTTTAAGTGGGATTTTTTTTATTTTTTTTATTTTTTTTTTATTTTTTTTTTGTTTTTGGAAAGTATCCTTTAAGTGGTATAATATGACAGAAATCTTATCATTTATATAACTGGATCTTTCAAGGAATTATACCAAGTAAGCTTCTCAATAATTAACAGTTACCAATAAATACTCATAAAAGTCATAATCAAATCTTAAAAATCAACAAATTGCCAAAAATCTAGGAGAATAAACAACCATGGCCAAGAATTAAACATAGTAACGTGTGGCTCACACACGCTTCCTTTTACTCAAAGTTAATGCTCGGTTAATTCGTTTTTTTCAGGGTGAGGTATAGCTCAACTGATTAGAGCTTTCTTCTCGATTCTAGGAAATCCTGGGTTTGATTTTTATCAACCGACACCTGTCTTTGTGACTCTCTAAACATCAAAAATTATGCTTTCACTCTTTATTTGTTCACTCTATTTTATTTTATTTTTTTTAATTTTTTTTTCTAACCACCTTTATATTTTTGCAAATTTCCAAAGTGAATAATAATAATACTAATAATAAAAACCAATGAATTGAATAGCACAATAGTGTAACAATACGAAAATACCCTCCTAAAAGTGGGGCGTCCAAAAGAAACCCTAGAAAAAGACTCGTAAAACAACCATGACATAAATAAACTCATTATGATTTACACAAATTGAATAGTGTTATTTAGCAAAATTAGTCAAAAAAATTCTAGTAGTTGCGCGCTTTTTCCTCCTTTTTTTTTGTTTTCTCTCTCCTTCGCACCCACTAGATGATGATTCTAATTTTATCACATAATTTGTTACAACTAACGACTATTTGTTCGCATGTCACATAATTCTTTCGTCATCATCTCGTCATCCTTTAATTTATACCACAATATTATTATTAAAATTAAAATTAACAATAAAATAAAAATAAAAGAAAAAGAAATCCTTTATTAAAAAATTGTCGTCATCATATTTGATAGATATCACAATAATGTCGCAACATAATCATGATTTCAAGAACAAACCTAAAACAAAAGAAGTAATTAACTCCTAATAACCCTCCAAAATTAAACGACTAATCCATCGATCCAGGTTGACGGAATTTACAAGAAAAGATTACAACCGTTGGATCAAATCAAACTAAAACTAAAACTAAAAATCAAGCCCTAAAACAACCAACAATAGGATTATGATGATGGTGATGATGATCATGATGATGATGATGGTGTTGATGAAGATGAAGGGATTTCTCTTGATCAATCAATGCTTGAACGTAACGAAACTCCTCCACGTGGCAAGGAATAGTGATAGTACCTTTGTGATGAAAACCGTACTCATCTTCAGCTTCTTTAAGAAGCTTCATAAAAAGAGGGTGATTGAAATGTGATATTGGTACCACGAATCTTTGCTGTTCTTCTTCTGTGAGCCCCACTTTTATCGCCAAACAACCCTTCGGAATATGGTGTTGCTGCTTCTTGTGGGGTAGATGCAGGTGAACCATTTTTATTTTCTTTCTTTAATTGGGAAATTAAAATTGAGAAAAAAATTATTATTGAGGGTGAAAAAAGGGGGAAATTAGATGTTGTATTAGAGGAACACGAAACAAATTGGGGGGGTTGTTTTGGAGAAAAGATGGAGGGTTTGAGAGATTGCCATGTTTACGAGTTTAACCTAGAAATTATTGTGAAGGAATTGAATTACCAAGAGAGAGAAATTTATAGAAAGAGGGTTTTTGGTTGGAATGAATTTGGGTTTAAATCGAAGAGTTGAGTTTAATTACATAACAACCCATTAATTGTGGGGCCCAATTCTATGTTTTGTGCGATGACGGCTTTAGCCGTTGGGAGTTTTCTAAGGGTAGGGTTGTTTTTGTTTTGTTTTGTTTTTTTTATCTTGTTTTTTGGTTCATGTTTTTGATCATGCGTATTGTAATTTGTAAGTGGCTAGAAGGATTCGTAATGAGAGTGATGAATGACACGAGGGTTAGTGACTTTGGGTGAGGCATTAAAGGGGTTGCGGAGGACTAGTAGGATAACTGTTGGTCTGTATGCGGATGATATTGTTTTTTAAAAGATAAAAATAAATATTGTTCTATTTTGATTGGAAAACTTAGATGATTAAAATTTCAAAATTATAAAATTTGATGTACATACATTTTTTATTTTTTTTTGAACGGACGTACTTACATAATATCAAGAGTTAATGTAAAAACAATTAAAATAGTGAAAGATTATTTTTAATTTTTTTGACAAGGGTAAAGGAAATAATATAAAACCGATATGTTTAATATAAAAGTACAATAAAGTACGTGCATGGTGGATGTGAGACCTGTAAGTTAATTAATTACAAATAGGTAGAGATATAAATACTCCTCAATCTATTAATATTACGTTTAACCTTCCTAATATTTGCCAAAATACCATGATTTTTACTTTCAAATGCCTAAAAGTGGGGCTTTACGTACAATCATATATTTTTAAGAGTATAAAGGGTGTCCAGTTTAGAATTAAATTCAATATTACTCCGTGAAAATAAATAAATAAATAAATTAATGATATACTTTTTTCGAATACAAATACGTTATATAACAATTAGAAAAGACTATTTATGTGCCTGTGGAATACATAAAAAAAAAAATCAAAAATACTAGTAAAATGTACAGAGTATTTTTTTTCTCAATCAATATACCTGGATGTGCATTTCATCTTTTATCTTTTAATAATCTTAAACAGTTCTTTATTTTAATGTTAGTATATTTTCACTTTAAGAGTATAATCATAAACAAGCTGCCAATTGATAAAATAATGCCGAAAGTCAAAAAGAAAATGAGTACAAGTGGTCCTTTGGATAGAAAGGTACATTAGAAGAACAATATTTGTACTCCCAAACTTTGTGGGCACCCGCAATTTCTGGATATTTTCTAATACAGCATAATAATTAATGTTCCTTCTTTTCTTGTTCAACCAATATTTTTAGGATCCACTTATTCCTAATCCGCAATTGATGGTTAATTGCTTGGATAAATTTTAATCAGGCGTTCAAAGTGCAACATCAAATAAAAACTTATTGTCAAACTATTATATTTCATATACATTCTCAAATATCAAGAATACGAAACAGTTTTTTTATTTGTATAAACAAAAATAAATTAGTTTTTGACCACAAACATAAAATTTTACTCCGTAATTTAAATTAAAAAACAAGATTGCACTGATCATAATTTTTTTAAAATAGTTTCTAAAGTTCAGTTTAATGATCATGCAACATAGACTAAGAGTACAATGTCATCAAACCTTGATATTTTTAAAAATTACATTAACAAATAAGATTACAATGTTTTTTACTTTTTAATAGTTTAGTTAAATGAATAATGATTAATTCAACGTAAAGCTTTCAAAGAACCTATCATCAAAACTTAATTGAAATAATTGTACCTTAATAAAAGTGTTTATTTATCAGTAATTAAATCAAAGTTAGTGTGTTATATTAGATATCAATTAATAAAATTGATTATGTACTCTGTATCATTAATCAGATAAAAATTACATTGTAGTTTTCAAAACCCGGTTCTCAATATAACAAAAAAGGTACTCTCTACCTGTCTCCATGGAAACAACTCTAATACTAATGATAATAGTTTCCAGTGCTGGTATAATAAAATGAAGTTATTTCAAAAACAAAATAAATAAAATAAAATGACGTGAGTATTCTTCGCATAATCACACTGGATTCATAAAAGTAAATATTCTTTAGTCTTTACAAATTACAATGAGTTATGACTCGGTGGAGTGTGTAATTCATGTTTTTGTTGTGGGCCGGGCTGCGTTGCAAAGAGAAAATTAATACGGGCCAATCTCGTTGGATAATATGAGTGGGTTAGATAAGTGAGAAAACTGGGCCCATGAATCTGAACATGGTGGCTCATCTTTGCAGCAAGTTTGGGTTCAAAAGGCTTCGTTTGCTGGACATCCACTGAGTGGCTGCAAAAATAAAGCAACGTGGGCTAGCGCAAAGGTTGTGTCCACTGGACTATAAACTAAAATTATAATTTAGAATAGTTGGTTAGTAAATTATTAGACAGCATTGTTGTCTTAATTAAGTTGTACAACCTATTTGGCTAGGATTACAAGTTGTGGTGAGCGATTAATTATTATGTAATTTATGTAAAAAACATTAATGAGAGTTTTCATCAACGACGCAAGTGCTTGAACACTAGGCCATAGTCGATTTAAATAAAAATCCCTGTTGGATTTATTGGTTCTTGATTGTCTTTAATTTCATTGGAAAACAATGCACTTATTTTGTGATAGTGAGATCCTTATCTTTAATCAAGTTTGTCCTCCTTGAAAGCTCAAAACACCACTAATGTTGATTGCCTGTGTGCGAGGGAACAGTTGATCGCAATCAATATCGTCATTTCTCTTGTTACCTTTCCTCATTAATTAACTTGTATTCCCACCGCGGGCTCTTTCATGAAACATTTTAATGCATTACTTGTATCTTTGCCGTTCACGGGTCATCACTGTATTATACAACAAGTATAATTATTTGTATGGCTTATGCATATTATTTGATACGTCGTAATAGATAGTAATCATTACAATTAGTTTAATTTGTACTTATATCTTTTCAACACGGGTCACCACTGTATTATACAGCAAGTAAAATTACTTTTATGGCTTATGCATATTATTTGATACGTCGAAATAGATTGTAATCATTACAGTTAGTTTAATTTGTACTTATATCTTTTCAACAATAAGTACAATTTATAGCGTCAATTATAATGCAATGTCATCTCCATCATGAATTTTCAAATGTTATCTCTGTGTACAAAAATTTTCTGCACTTTTTTTATTCTTTGGATTATCGAGAAGTTTAGAAAACACAGCCAGTGATTAAGTGATTGTGTCATACTAAATTACTAAAACTACTACTCTACTCTTATCATATAACTATATATAAGTCCTAATCTTTTATGATCTACTGCATTATTAGTCCTTTATGGTATTGATGTGTATGGACAAAAGCAAAAAGATGATTATAAACATTATTTTGTACGGCTTCTTTCAGATATAAAACAGCCATAAACATAATTTTTTGTAATACTTTGAATTTCCCTCAACTAAAAGTTTTGATAAGATATAATCTTTTGACTTCGTTATGAAAGTGATGTTAGTAATAGTTAAAAGTTTGTAATTCAATAATTAATCACGTCGTCTTACATCATATTTGGATAACATAATTGCTCTTTTTCTTTCTTCTTTTTTCTGTGTTGTGTTACGTACCAACTCCAACTACTTCTCAAGTTGTAAAACAACGTTGACTAAATGTACTAATCTGCTTTGAAAATCTTTGAACTAACAACTTCACAAAATTCATTTCACATGAACAATAACTGAAGTTTGTTTCCAGAACTTGTTAAATATATTTTGTTCAATTGTTCAATCGATGCTAGGTTTGTTATGATAGTAATGATAATATTTAGGTTGAATAGTGAATCGTAGTACAGTGATGCAATTAAGATAACAAACTATTAATCACTTCATGTACTTCGCTATCTAAAACTAATCTTCAGACATATTAAGAATCAACTTTGATTCAACTTAATTTGCATAGGTATTGCATCAAACATTATTATAAATTTATATTAATTTGGTTTTAAAATGAAATGGTATACTTTCGTGACTATAATATAATTAGTCTGTAATGAATGCCATTTTCTGTTATATTAGCATAGTTAAAAATTTATTACTCCTATGTTTAGAGGTGATTGGGTATATTAACGAATTATCCAAAAAGATTGTCAAAAAGAAAATGATTTCTTGGTTGAAGAGCATTTACATAGATCACATGCATATGGAAAGTAGAATGAAAGAATTTGACTAATAATATTCACTCAATTTGGACATTAATACAAAATCAACGACACAGAAAATAGCTGGAGTAAGTAAGACCGTCACTAATCATGTTTTGCTTTATAAACTATATTAGCCATCAATCTAATCAAAGTTGAAACACTGCGTAAAAGACAAACCTATTATCCACCCTTGAACACAACACTTGGCCCTCTCTAAGGTATCCAACGTCATTAGTGTAGTATCAAGAGACTTATTTTGTGATCACTCATCATTTGTTCAACAGCATATATAATTAATACTTCAAATTTTGTTTTGTAATCCAAACAACAGTAACATTCCAAACAAAGATTGTGGCATTGCACCAACATATTACATGTACGTACACACCATCAAACTAGTGATTGATCACTAATTAAACTGTTGCTGTTTCGCTACTCATATATACTCGATCCCTGGCCTTCTAAATAAGTCCCTTGACACAATTAAACCAATAATGAAGCAAATCATATGAACTTAACATTTTAAGGATGAAATCCTGCCTTAGTGTAATTGTATGTAATGCCCAGCATTCTGCAACACAAAACAAGAGACTATACTATACCAACTACCAAGTGCATAAAAACCTCCGCTCCTATCTTTTCATATCAACTGTTTACCTTTTTTTTTTTTCTGTCTGTGTTTTCTCATCACAACATATCACACGTTGTTGATATCTTATTTAGCCCCTCCATAATAAAAAGGTAAAAAAAAAATGCGACAGAGTAATGTTGTAAAGAGTTAGTTGTAGGCTTTTAGCAAAAAGATAGAGCATGGTAATCTGTACCCACACCATTTTTAACCCCCTTTGTAACAATTTTTACCCATGTTTCTGTAGTACTACTACATTCTTCAATAGAAAGCTGCTTCACCTACCCATCTTTCTCTTTACTAGGGGTTCTTTTAATTGACTTGTTTTCTCATCCTTTTTAGCTGGCAATTATAAGTGTGAGGGTTTCACCGCTTTAATAGTACTACTAGTATAGTTAGGCAACTAATAGAGGACAATTATAATGTGCTTAATTGATAACAATATTAGCTTTAATAACTTAATAGTACCATCACAGTTAGGCAATTAACAAAGGACGATTATAATGTGCTTATAATATTAGCTTTAATAATAAACATAAGTTTTGGTTAGCTGTTCGGCAATTAGCTAGACTACAGGTATAAGATATAGGAGTAAGGCTAATGAATTGATTATTAATAATTCAATAAGTAATGACTCATGAGGCAGTTAAAACCCAGAGAACGTCAGTAAAGATTATAGAGTTCCAATAAACAAAGCCTCATTAAATTGGGTGCACTGAATCTCTAGAATCCTGCATTCAATCAAAACCAACATTAAAATCAATAAGCTATCTTATCACAACTAAACAAGTAC